AACTTAAAATTTAACTGTTAATAAAATTAACATAATCCTTACATTACGATTTCATTTAAAAATTTAAAACTACCAAAACTGGGTTCGTACTGAATTTGAGCTCTTTTTCTTACAAAAATACAGAATAAAAAATGGTGCTGATAATAATTGGAAAATATTTAATGAAATTCTAACTGCGAGCAAATTTGGTAGATAAATAACTAATTCCCATTTGACTTTCTACAACAACAACTTCCTTTTATAACCGAACAAACTTCAGAAGCCTCAAAAATTTATGCGTGATTAATATAACTGTAGTATGTGACATAATATTTTCAGATAAAAAACTGAATTCTATAATAATTTATTTATGAATTATGTATTAAGTTTTACATTTTACTTTTCTGCTTCATTGCTTTATGTTTATGGAGATGTTCAGTAGAGCGTTAAGATATACTACAGAAATTTTTTAAACATACCGTTCTTCACTAAGTAATGTAAGACAAGTTTTGAACAATTAATTTTTATCTGCGAGGTAAACCTCGTAATCGTCGAACTTTCCCTCCCTCTGCCCCAAAGCAAACTGGCGATTTTAACCTTGCACTTAATCGTTAATCCTTTTGATCCTTTGAGCCAAATCGAAGGAATCTATTGCGTAATGTATTAGTAGGACTCTAGAGCACCGTGCCATTGAGACCATGGTAAGTCGTTTGGTATCTGATTCATAGTTTTTGATTGTGGAACGCTTGGAATTTTTGAAAGGATTTTGAGTCGGATATAAAAGACCACTGAAGCTGCAGAATGTCATTCAACAAACGATCACCAAAGAATAACCATGCTCTTAGTAAGTACATAAAGGTTCTTACTTTCGATTTTGCTTGAGAGTCCAAGAAATGTATTGTAAAATTTTGAAAGTATTTCGGGAAGTATATTATAAGAAATATTTTAAAATATGATTAAATGCATTTTGAAAATTTCAGCAAAATTATTAATTCATTTAAAGCATTTGTTTAGTCTGTTGTTCAAAATATTTAAGCTATAGAAACTTAATTGCATTACTATTGGAGATGAAAACGATAAAATGAAATATATATTCATTTATTTAGTCTATTATTCAAAATATTTAAGCTATCAAAAAAATTAAATTAATATTGAAGATGAAAACGATAAAATATTTCAGTTCAGCAATAAACTCAAGATAAATTAAATTAATTAAATTGCTTTGCAATGTAAAGTAATTCGAAGCTTGCCTGAAGATAATGAAATTTTCATATAATTTAAGGTAAAATATAGATATACCGATAAAAATATTATATTAGAAGATCCCGTCTATTTCTCATATCGATTAATTAATTAATTATATTTAATAGAAAATATTTTTCTGGCTCATCAAAAAGGAAATAATAAAAACAAAAGTATACTGCAGACATCGAACAGAAAGTCGTCTGAAAAGTTTATTGAAATAGTTTGGCATATTCTATTGTTGCAGTCATACCATTTGTTTTTTAATTACTTTCTGCTCATCACTTAAAAATTTTTTAAAAAATAAATTTTTTGGAAAATGAAATTTCTCAGAAAAATCCATCCTTGTGGAGCACCTTAATGCAAGTTTCAATTCTGAAATAAAACAAAACGTTTTTTTAATGAGCATGTTAATTTCTAATTTCCTAAAGTTTCAATCCGGTGACAAAATTTTATATTTTACATAGACATGTGGCATTTCGTAAGAAGTATTTTCATGCTTAGTCCTGCATTCTAAAGCAATTCTTTGCTTTTTAAAGAACTTTTAATTTTTAAAGTAATTCAACCTGCTTCTTAATTTCAACGCTAACATAATATTCAGGCTCGAACCTTTTGACACACGATAAGAATTTAATTTTTCCTGTCTTATTCTACAGAATTCGACTAGAAAGCTTATTCTTTAGTAGGCCTGCCTTAGCTGATTGGCTTGAAGTTATTTCAGGTCAAAACTATATATATTTGTTTTGGTTTTCTCTGTACTTTTTCCATTTTTTCTATTTTTCCTCTTTAAAATGTAATTTTTGTTTTAAATTTGGTATTTTTCTTTAAATTGTGTTTCACTTATTTTAACTTGTTGCACAATGATAATAGGTTGGTCTTCAAATATTTAAGCTGCATTTTCTGTTTTTCGTTTTAAGTTTATTGATGAATATATAAATATATTATATATTCTTTTTTCTTGTTCTTCTTCTTCTTTTCTCTGGTCCCCCCTCGTCTCCATCTCCCGTCTCTGCCGTCCATTCTTCCATCGTTTTATAAATTCATTGTTTGCTTGAAAAAGCTTAATCTTACATATATTTATTAAAAAATTTAAGTTAAAAGACTTTCTGAACTCTTTGAAATTTTTTTGGATAAGTGTTTCGAGATGTCAGTCTGTAACTTGAAGTTTTCGAATTGCAAAATTGTTTACTTATTTATTTTTTTAATTAATTTCTTGTGGAAGTTTCTGGGGTAGATAACTGTAAATTTAAATCTGAAATAATATTTTTTTAACTATTTGTGGATATTGTGTTGGAATCTTTGTTAATACCAGCTCTGTTTCCAACAGAAAGCTTTGGGTTTAGAATTATTCAATTCATAGTCTGAATTTACTTAGATATAGTTTTGAGACCTCTCCCCTCTTTCCCGAAGGAAAACTGCCATTTATGAATATTTTAAAATTTGTTTAATACAGATTCAAAGTTTGTGTTTGTTTATAAATATTTTTTATTTTCTCTTAATAGTAAATTCTTCTTTTCGAAAACTAAAATCTTTATATAATAGCGTAAGTAATAAAAAAATTACATTTGATTACAGATAAAATCTATTTGATTATTATTTTCATCCAGAAAAATTATTATTATGCATAAATTGTACCAATATTTAACCAAAAATTTTAGAGTTCGTAGTTAAATTTTAGTTTAAGAATTAATTATTCTCTATAATACTTTATGCATAATAAATAATAAAATACAGATACATTATTAATACTTTATTATTATGCATAATAAAATCTTCGAAATTATCGCAGATTAAGTATTTGGACAATTAACAGCGAATGCAAATTCTAAAATTAATGCAGAAAAACAATTACCGCAAAAGATCATTTTTGTGATATTTATATTACTAATTTTCTTAATTGTGTTCAATGTGTTTGAAAAATCACACACGATTAAAAAATTGGGAAAGAACCTAGAGAGCGAAATTTTACGCTTTTAAATCCAGATCATAAGCAATATCTTTTAATATACAGTAATGTTTCAAATACTTAAAATGCCCAATGTGTACGAAAAAGTTAATAGGAGATTCTAAACTCCAATTACACCTTTAATTCTGTTACTGATTCTATAAATTCTATATTAAATCTTTATAATTTTCATTTCATTTTATGATACCTACACAGTCTGTTCCCACAGTCTATTGATTTCCACCATTAACTATCTATGCCCCGTGGTAGATTATTGCCAGTCTTCAGGCAAACGATCTTTATTTTACCTTTCTAAAGATTGCGAATGCTTTAACTGTTATTATTCTGGCTACAAAAGGTTTTAAATACCTTTAAAAGGTATGTTTCCACCTAGATTTAAATCTCTTCTTAATCACTGCCAAGGTATGTAGTAGCTACTGTTATTCGAGAGAAAGGCACACAAGCTTTAACGTATTTAGGTAGTCGACGTTAAAACGCTCAGTTAAAATACTTGAAACAGCTTAAGCAGATAATTTTATGTAGTCTCAGACAACGTTACTTGAACCTGAATTTCAATTTATACTATTTCAAATACTTTCAGGTGGAGGAGTTTTGTTTATAAGCAAAAGTGGTGCCTTTTGTTAAGTGAAAAGAGTTAATAAAAAGGTTATTTTAAATTTCCAGAACTTTATCATATTAATTCAGACTTCAGCGATAACTCGCTATCAGTCTCGTAGGATCTAAAGCCCATTGGTTCAAACTTCTGCATAAATAGAACTCACACGTTATTCAACGGCCTAAGTCATTCGGTTACTCGTGAGCTAAATATAGGAAGCTATGCTAAATATTACGAACCTAGTTCCACAGTTTTACTATACATGTATCCGCCGGAGTGTCAATGGGATTCAACCATGTAAATGAATTTCAAAGGGCTACTAATAAATGTTTTTAATATTTAAGTTTGGCATGCTTATTCAAAAGAACGTTCATTTTCATTTATAAGTTGACCTTTTTTGTAGTATGAAAATAACATCTTTGATAATTCATTACATTAGTCTTTAAATTAATTTATGCATTTCTGATGGTATTCTAACCAAGTGCCAAATGTTGGAAAACTTGTTAAGTTTTAATGTCTTTCGCTCTTCGAAACAATGACTAAGATTTTGTTAGACATTTAGTAACTTATTGCTACGCCTGAAGTACAACAGAGACTTGAGAAGGGTGTAAAAGATTATGAATTTAAAACTTAACTAAGGTGAACAGAAGGTCCATGTGATGCTTGCAAGTCTGCAAGCATTTCTGTCGGAAAACTCAAAGTAGAAATTCAAATGTAAAGCTAAATTTAAGTAACGAATAGTCAAAGGCTACACAGAGTAATTTAACGCGAAGTTGACTCGGACTACACCGACATGAATTTAACTATCGACAAGCATAATGCAAGACCGAAGAATGAAACTCATACTTTAGGATAGCAAACTCAGTAACTTTGTTTTTAAGAGGAAGAACACGCTCTGTCTTCATAATCTTAAACCCTTATTTAAATATACGCGAACTCATTTGCATTTTGGCGGGGAAACGAAAAGAGAGAAGTTACAGTAAAAATTCAAAGCATAAAAAAACTGCTTATTTAAATTAAATAAAACTTCACAAAATCAAAAGGTGTGCTCAAATTGAGTAAGTAATGTTATTTTAAGAAATAAAATACCTTAAAGGGTTACGCATGAAAATATGTTAAGGAAAGTATTTCCTCTTTTTGAAATTAACATTCAACGTCATGCTCATTTTTAAGATTCAATTTTGACTCTTTGGTAATATTTTGTGGGTGTAGAATTTAAAGTATTTTATATATGATTATACCGCATTTATTTAATTGGGTTTCTTTCATTTTACAGAAACTGGTGGTTGCATTCTGCTGCATTGCAGCTACATTGGCTACTGACAGCTACTACCACGTTCAGCCACGAGGTTTCATTCATGAACAACCACAACTCCTGCATGAGCATCAGAAGCACGACCTTGAACACGGAAATCATGCTGCTCATGAATATGACCATGAAGGGCTAAGGAAGCTACACCATCTGCAGTCTTCTCACGGAGCCAACAGTTTTGGGGCTGGAGATGCACATGCCCTTCGAGATCTCGCTCTTCATAATCACCACGATAAAGGAGCTCATGCATCTCTCCAATTAGCGGGGGCTCAAGAAGGTCACATAAACAAAGGCCATGATCGTGGCTTTTACGAGCGTGAAAAGAAATACGGTTACGAAAAAGGTTACGGCTATGAACGTGAAACAAAGCATCACGACAGAGATCACAGTGCCAAGAGCTTTGGCAGCGGATACAAACATAACGAAAACAAAGGTCACTACAACAGGGGTGCCCATGCTCTACGCGATTTGGCTGCTCAAGGACACAGATACAAGCATGGTTCTAATGCTTATGGACATAATAATGCTCTTATTGATATCGCTGCCAACCACAATCGAGGAAAAGATATTCTATCCAACTATGGTAAAAATTTTCATCTCCGAGATTTGAATATTGTTCGTCCCCAGCCCGTTTTTGTCTATCAACCTCAGTACATCCACCGAAGTCATCATCCCGGATTGTATAACTCTTTAGGTAGATTTAGATATCTTAACGGCTTGGGTGGAATCCGAGGATACGGTTTAGGATTACGATACAATCATAGTCCTCTACGTTATGGATATTCTAACGGACATTTTGACAGCGAAATTCTGTCTCCTAGCCACTCTTTTCTTGGATTGAGTAATATACATTACAACATCCACTAGCAGGCTGAAAAGTTTATTTTTGCGTTCGTATATTTGGGAAAACTAGATGGACGTTTAAAGAATGAGTCATTGATGGAAAATCTCTTTATGTTCTGAATAAATTATTTTCTGTGTAAGTTTCGTTGTGTGTAAATAAATACAATAAGAATTTTCTTTCAATTTGTAGAGTATTGTTACTTAAAAATGGAACTTTATTATTAATTTCTTATTCTGTTATATGTTTCATTCAAATAATCATTAATTTCATTCTGGAAAGATTAGATATACATCAATGGTCTTCAAACTTTACCGTCTCCAAAAACACATGAAGTTATAATTCCAAAATTAAAGAAATTATGGTTACAAAATATGAAATCGATAACAAAACAAATTTCAAATTTAAATAAGGGCTTTCACATGCCCATATTCTATGGAAGATTTCGTTATTCAAATTTTTGATGGCTCTAGGTACCGTTGTTGTGCGAGAAACATACATACATTCATGCAGATGCTTCATTTTTAATTTCTTTAAATATAATACAGGGCGATAATATTTGGTGGCCAACAATTTGAAAAGTGATTCGCCATTTATAGTTTTCAGCGCCAAATGACAACACGAAACTAAAGTCCTTCAGGGCAAATTGCCCCTATAGCCTAATAATAACTTACGTTTGTAACTATTTGAAAGATACAATTTTTCACACCCATTGTGTAACATGGATATGAGACAGTTTCCCTTAGAAATCCCTCCACGAAGGCATTCCTTTGTAAAACCTATCTCTGTTATTCCACTTAAACTAAATTATATACTACAACGAACCTGGCGAATTCTCGCACAAGCGTGAATAAATTACCAGCACAGAAGAAAGGGTGAAAAATAACAGTCCACTTGCTATTAAACGTAGAATATAATACAAGTCAAACCTGAAAAAAATAGTGCTAGAACGCCCTTCAGTTTACGCCTAAAAGAGGTGGACTCGTAGAGATTCAACCGGCGTGATTCTAATCTGATAAGGCCAGGTTGCTTACTAGCGTGACCGCGAAATAACAACAAAACGTGCTGTTCGTTGCTGATCATTATGGATTCAGCCGCCTGTATTCAACTACAGAATCTAGTATTACACACACACACACACACATATATATATATATACATATCATTTGATGGCTACAAATCACGACTTTGATTGTATATATATATATATTATTGATTTGATTATAAATATATACATATAATACTGTATCACACTGCATATATTTGTATTTCAGTTTTTTAATTGGGAAATTAAACAGTGGCACTTAATCGCATCAGCTTGTTTAACAATTTGATACCTAATGGAAATGTATTGCCAAGGGATGGTACTTTCTAGCATCTGCTTAAATTTCAAGTTAACTATAATGCACTTAACCAAATTTAAACAAAACTAGAAACTCTAATTTTCAGGAAGAGAAACACTATAACAAGCAAGCAAAAAGAATAAGGGACTTGCAAATTAGAAACTTAACATAGATGTTTAATTAGCCTTTGCTTTGTTTTTGAGTGGAAGAAAGGATGAATCTAGATATAAGTAGGAAGAAATAATATAAAACACTGTGTCGATCCCTTATACAATCTTGAATGTTACCTGTATCTCTCAAAAGATAAATGAAAATGAAGATAACATATATAAATTAAAATACCACAATACAATAAATTATATTGTACAAAACGAATTAAAAAAATTACAAGTTTAACATACCATTCTCACGCACAGTGGGAATTAAGAAATATCTCATAGCGTATAATGTTTTTCCATATCTCACTTTTAGTATATCATCTCCACAGATTTTATATAAATAAAACATAATGGGTATTATACTATATGTGTTCTTGATGTAAAAAAGATAACTTCGTACTGTAAATTTCCATCTATGTGAATAAGTATGAATAGATCATATACACATATTATATAAATAACTAATTAATGAAAACTAAATTCATAGAAAAATGGGGAAAGTGTAGAATCGCCCACGCTTTGGCGTTTTTTAGAATTGCACATATCGGTACACTACACATCGACCATTTTCACTTAAAAAAATCCAGAATTGCACAAAAATGCCATGTGCACTCCTGTTTGACTTTTTCATGTAGATCGACCTATTTTCACTTACAAAGTCAAAAGACAAACATCCATTCCTTTTCTTTTGTAAAAAGTGCCCAATAAATAAGTGGGAGATTTACTTCGAAAACATATATAAAAATACCATTTACCTATATAGATTAATGATTTTATATAAAAGTTTTCAATATTCACTTAACGGAATAATTTTAGATTCTATTGTAGAAAGAATACTTTGAAGTGTATAGAAATATTATGTTGAACATAAAATATAATAGAAAATTCAAGTACTGAAAAGGTTAGTATTTGTTTTTGACAGTAGATGATATAATAAAAAATGCCTCATGCCTGAATCATTTCCTGTATTTTTACAATGCCAGATTAAATTTATATAGTGCAGTATTAGCCAAATAAATAAATCTTCTGTACAACCTATCAAATGCAGTTAAATTACTGCATTGAATAGCGGATTGTAATGTAACTACCATTTCGCAGTATAACTAATGAAGAAAATACTGTTTAATTATTACTCGAATCTATTTGAAGCATGCTAGAACCGTGCCTTACAAGACTCATGATTCGAAAGCTTTGGTTTTAATTGTCCTGTAAAAACTTTCAATTACTCTGCCTGCAATTCATACCCACGTAAAAATTACTAAACCTAAACATTCATATACAGTGCCCACATTCTAAAACAACAACCACAATTTAGAGATGCCAGTTGTGGTAACCTGACAAAACTATGAGTGCTCTTAAATGTTCCTGACAAATCTGTCGCTGTCAGAGTAGTCATTAAGAAATAACCACAATAGTTTCACTTAATGTAATTTTTTTCAAATAAATAATCACGTTTTATACTTACAAAGAAATTTAATATTCATACACCTATAATTATGCACAAATCTATCTATGTCAAAAGCAATTTACGAAAAAAGCCCCATTGAATTTTCTTCATCAAACTAAATAATGAGAATTAAAGTATGCATAAAAATGATTATATTTGTTTTAACAAAATAGCACAAAATATTTAATGTAACAATGTTGTTCTAGTGTCATACTTGCAAACAAAATTAGACCAAAAAGGAAAAACAATGTAAGCTACTATGATCATCCAAAATTTTACATAATTTTAGTAATGGAAAAAAGATTCCTTAAGGTTGTATGTCTTGTCTACCTCATTCAATAAGTAACAAACACATTAAATATTTCAATGTTTACTTCTTCATTAAATATTTCAATGTTACTTTAATTCGTTTTGCTCGGCCACATCACATTAGTCGAAAAATTGAAAATTGTTATGCAAGATCTTTTTAGTAGTATGCTCAATTTATTAGTACTAATATTCAAATGATAAGCATCTACGAACAAGCTTAAACGTATTTCTAAACTGTATAAAAAAATTTTTCAAAATACAGTTTCAATAGATGCAAAACATATTCGTGCATCTACTTAACAACTGAACCAAATAGCAAATCGAATTATCACTTTTCAGTCTTTACCTTGCTTTTTAGGATAAACTTCGAATGAAAATCATATCACGGGGAAACGCCGTTTCAGAAGTAGTCACTATCAGCAACACGAACACGATACCTGCAGGCTTTAGGGGCACATAACCGCATGGCTTGCTTGCCTTCACAGCAGTGCTGGTATTTATATTTTTACTAATTTCTAACATAAACATATAAAATTTGTAATAGTAATAGTAAATTATATATTGCATTACTACATCCACGAAGAAAATAACACAAACATCAAACAACAATAACTAGAACGGCGCCATATTGCTTGCTTGGAAAACTTCTTCTGAGAGCGGGGAGGGAGGGAGGGGAATTTTTTCCCTCACGTCAGCGTTAACACGGAGAAAACAGTTCAGAGATTGCGAATGAATTTAAGATGTTAAGTTCATTCGCGTTAAAGAGGTGTTGTTTGATCTCGGTGTTTATTTGTAATATCAGAAATGTAAGTGCGTATGTGTGTGTATTCAGGGAACCAATTAGTAGCAAAAACCACCTCCCTAAGATGACCGCCTCTGAAAGAAACCAGTATTTTTGAAAACATAAGTATATTTTTTGGTATGACTCCGCGAGCGACATTCACAAAGAAAATTCTGCAATGTGGCGGTCCCTTAGAGAGATTATTTCCGAATCCACCATCCCTAAGACGACCAGCTCTAAAGATAAACGTATTTCTAAGAATATAGTAATATTGCTATGAGATCAACCTCTCTAAGGACCCTTGCAAGATACTTTTTATTGCAGCTGTCGCCTAGAAGACCTCGTTGGTGGTGGCGTATATGATTCTGTCGTTTCCGAAAAAAATTAATCAAATAATAATCATATTTAGTAAAAACCTCTCTAAAACGACACCTGCGTTTCCGGTGCTCTATGGCTTAAGAGATCATATTTTCAGTATCTTTGTGATTGTACAAAAGTCTATGAACGTGATAGCAAATACATAACCCATATAACCAACAGAATGTTTATTATTATATTGATCCAGTAAGAAACCATAAAAGCATATAACCAATACAAACCGTAAAAAGTCTGACATTGATGTTGGTTGTATGGGTTCAACTGATACCCTAAGAAAGCCCACAGAGATCAATAGAACTAGTAAAGTCAGTAGGGACCAATAAAAATTCTATAGGTACCAGTAGAATGTTTTGCTAGTTCCTATGGGGCCTTTGAAGCAGTAAGAAAAACCCACAGAGACCAACAGAAACCAGTAAAAGTCAATAGAAGCCCATAAAATGTTTTACTGGTTTCTATGGGGCATTTTTAACAGGGGCGGCAATTTAATACTAGTTATTTAGCATTAAAAATAACATTTTATTTTGTGAGAAGGAAGTTTGGAACACAACGCGAAGCAGGGTGGTCCAAACTTTAAGCAAAATAAAATCACTTTTATTTACTTTTTTATATCACTCAACGCCGCCCAACTGCGATAGTGGTTAGTGTCTCTGATCGCCGTACCGAAGCATTCGGGCTCGAAACCCAGAGAGGGCATGGACATTTGTAAATATATAGTGCCTATTTGGCATGGGGGCAATCTAAATATGCAAACTGGGGCGAAACTGATCAA